TGTGCTCAGTGGTTTTTCTGAAGATAGAGTTCGATTTTTCAGCTAGCAATTCAATGGAATATTTTTTTTGCCATCTGGAAACTATTGATTTTTTAGAATTAAAGCTTACGATAAAACTGAGAGTTCGACCTCACATATTTTTTTCATTTGGTTAAAAACCAGAAACTCATTTAAAAAACAAAGTGGTTATTTTCAACAAAAATTCGATGTATCATTCAGAGACTACGACTACTACTACTGATTATAATGAGTATATTGCCCGTTTCCCCTTAAGGCGGGGTTGCACATCCGGAAAGCGCGTAAGCACTCGTTCAGATGAGGGCATGCTGAATAGCATTCAAGCTGTTTAATTGCGGTAGCACGTTTTTCCATGCCATTCGATCATGGCAGTCTGTGGATTTGAGGCCTAACACAATCGATCTTGTGGTTTTTAGATGTTCCTGCTGGTCTTTTTCTCAACCCTTCAATGCTCATAGTACTCACAGGGGTTCCAAATGTTGCCTCAAATTATGAATGGTCACATCATTTTAGTTCTGGGATATGACGTTTTTAAAACGCATTTGAAATTCTCAATTCTATTGTGAGTATTTTCAGGCATTGCAAATCTTGTATTATACTACGGCTGGTAAATTTTTTTCATGGTCCGAGATATTAAATTGTCATAATTTTTCTTCAGTAAAGTTCAGAAAATTTAGATATAAAACATTCCACACCACAAGGTGCTCTCAGGTTTCTCTCAGGATGTTTGTATCAACTCCAATTATGATTGCTCAGCGCTCTTAGTTTTCTTAGATTTGACGTTTTTATCTTCAAATTCAATTAAATACTTATCAAAGTTTGAAATTGTCGACCCTTTGCTGGGGTGATGTCAAATTACTATCAGCTACATATAATCAGCTATACTCTCATGCCAATATAATCGCTTAACTTTTTCATTAATTTAACAACTAAATTAAGAAAAAAGTGTCTGATATTTAAAAATTAGTTACGCTTTATTATGGATCCCATTTTTGATTTTAATATTTTTTAAATGAAATTGTTTCAATTTTTTCTTTGGAAAATGGAGTTGTGTGTTATGGACCATTTTAATGTTTCTTTTTGTACAATTTAATTTGAATTTTAAAGTCAAAATAATTTCTATCGTTCAAATTTTGATATCAAAATCGTTGTGGATTACCGCTTCTCTTTTTATGGCTGCATTTTTTTCGCTATTTTTTTCATCAGTAAAAGGCCAAGCTTTGCATTGGATAGACGCACAATTTGGCGTGTGACGGTCTCTGGAATCCAAAGACAAGTCTAAGTCTTTAAACATATTAAAACGTTGTCAGAAGGATAAAAAAACGAAAGAACAAAAGAATAACAAAGAAAGCGTACTTGTTGCGGAATCTACTTACAAATCTCAAAATACAGTTTGGCCTTGTAATGATATATTATATGTAGAAGCAACTTTCATGTTGAGCTCATCTGTTTCAAGCACCGGTGGTGCGTTACACGCTAGTTTGTATTGCAACTAAATCTGAGTTCTTTTTTTCTCGTAAAAGTTTTAAGTAGCTTTTATGTTTTTGGCTTATGGTTTCTTGGCTTTTTCACTTTCTTTGGTGCTTTTTGAAATGCTAAAGTTAATTGCTGTTTTTGACAGAGTTCAGGTCGGTTGTAGTGTAATAGTTCACTGGTTCAAAACTTAATCGCTCCAATTGTTGTTTGACAAGATTTTCTTAAGACATTTCTGATTTTTTTTCTGGCTCAAAAGGTGTCTTCCCATGTATTGTCGAATTGCTAGTTGCCCAAAAGTTTATTCAATGCCGACAGCTGTGTTTCTCAGATTTTTTTTGCTAAATCTGAAATTTTTAATTTTTCCAATGTCTCAACTTTAACAGTGTGACGTCCACACAAGGAGAATGTCATACAGTTTCACATTTGTAGTGTCTCTCGTTTTTTTTAGCCCGGTGGTAACGAATACGCCTGGGACGGCAAAAGTCCTGGGTTTGAATCTGATCAGGGCCAGTTTTTTCAAAAGGTAATTGTTCGGTTCAAAAAAATTTCGGCCTATTTTTTGTCGGCTTATGTGATGTCGGCTTTGTTGCCACATCTAAGAATCGTTCGTTTTAGCTGTTAACTTTTTTTTAACTGAAGTTGTTCTTAGCAATTAAAAAATATGGCTGAATCGAAATTTGCTTTTCATAATGGTGTGAAAATTTCGGCCTAATTAATATCGAGTTAGTGGCTTTTCATTGCGTTGTTACACCCGAAAAAAAATTTTTGCGCGTGGTTGACTTCTGAGGGAAAAGGGACTTGATGCTTGGATATTATAAATTCAAATCCAATCATCCATGCGGCGCACCTGGCATAGAGGTAAAACAACAGCTTGAGACGGCAAGATTTGCAATTTGAATCCGGCCGGGCCCTTTTTTTGAAACTAGAGTTTTTTGCTTTCGAATTATCGTCCGTTTGTTTATTTTTGTCGGCTTATTTCCGTAGATCGGAGGTTCAGTGTTGCATTCTCAAAATTCTTTGTATAGTTTCCAATGGTGCAGGCAATTTTGTTTCGAAAATGTTGGGCTTTTGTAACAAATTTTTTTGACAATACTTTTTTCCGTTGGTGCGAAGCTCAGCTTCGCCTCTTTGTTTTAAATTGAATCGAGTTATGATACTTGGTTCGAGTGTTTTGTTAACAATGGCAAAAACTTCGCTTGAATAAAAATAACGCGTGGAGGAAACTTCAAAGAAAAAAGAAAAATGGAGCAATTTAAAGTTTTTTTTTCATGAGTAAATTTCTACATTTGATTTCGCCAAGCTGGGAGACCCATTAAACGGCAGTCGTATTTTTCACGATTTTATTAGATACGCGCAAGTTGTGATAGATTTTTTCTAACATTCTGAGAATTGGACAGGACATTTGTGCTCAGTGGTTTTTCTGAAGATAGAGTTCGATTTTTCAGCTAGCAATTCAATGGAATATTTTTTTTGCCATCTGGAAACTATTGATTTTTTAGAATTAAAGCTTACGATAAAACTGAGAGTTCGACCTCACATATTTTTTTCATTTGGTTAAAAACCAGAAACTCATTTAAAAAGAAAGCGGTTATTTTCAACAAAAATTCGATGTATCATTCAGAGACTACGACTACTACTACTGATTATGATGAGTATATTGCCCGTTTCCCCTTAAGGCGGGGTTGCACATCCGGAAAGCGCGTAAGCACTCGTTCAGATGAGGGCATGCTGAATAGCATTCAAGCTGTTTAATTGCGGTAGCACGTTTTTCCATGCCATTTGATCATGGCAGTCTGTGGATTTGAGGCCTAACACAATCGATCTTGTGGTTTTTAGATGTTCCTGCTGGTCTTTTTCTTGGCACTGCAATGTTCTGTTGCTTTAAGCGCATAATCTTTTTTCTTCGTCGAACATGGTCAAACCATCGCAGCCGCGACGACTCTTGTAGCCTATCAAGATCAACACGACCCGTCATTTTTTTTTTTACTGCTTCCTTGGTTACTTTTTCTTTATAAGTGTTCCCTGTAGTCCTAAGCAGAGCTTTCTTATCAGTACTCTTGAGAAAGCTTGATGTTGCCTTGGTCTGCGCCCTGGTTTCAGAGCAGTACATCACAACTGGCCGGAGACAAGCTCCGTAGATATGACACCTTATAATCAAGTCAATATCTTTATTCTGCAGCAGAGGCGCAGTTTGCCACCATTTCGTCAAAAAGCTGCTATTCTGACCGATGATGCACGTATTGTGTCACTTTCAAGGGAAATCATATCACCCACATACCAGATTTCAATGACAGTACTCAAGTTTTCAAATTGATTGATTCCTAGAATAGCATTCTGATTTGAGCGATAACTGGAAGCATTATTGCATCTTGGACAAAATTAATTATCATTATGCTTAGGTTTATTCCTCAGGCCCACTGCATTTTTATGCACCCATTGATTACAAGAGTTTCAGCGTTTTGAGTTGGCGCCGACTCCCTTCAAACAACAAGCGCATGGATAATTTCTTGTTGAGGAATGCACTTTTGGCCTAAAATCAAATGCTTTGTCTCATCCACGTTGATTTTAAACCGCGTTTTTGCAAAAATTGTTCCAAGTATTTAGTTTTTCAATAGACTGGGATTCTGTTTCAGCAGATATCACAAGGTCATCTGCGTAAAGCATATCCCTTGGTACTGTGGAGCGTCAGTTTCTCGTAGCCTCTTCCGTTACTATATGACTATTATAGACAAGGATAGCCGGTTACTGTGCAAGTAGCACAGAATGTTCCAACCAGTGTTAGAAAAGCTCAACAATTCCAAGTTTTCAAGTTAGTGTCGTTTTTTCGGTGTGGTGTGATAAAAGAATCTTAGCGGAAAAGGAGAATTTAAGCTATTTCCTCAGTCATTGTTAAATGTGCGAATTGGAAAAAAAAGTTTCCGACTTTGTTCCAATTTTTAAATTTTTTATTTCCCCCATTTTTTGAAATTTTTCGTTCCTAAGATCAAGCTAAAAACTTCAAAAATTACTGGTTTTGAGTAAAATTAATATATCGAGGCTTAAAAAAGCATGAATAAGCTAATTTAAGCCTGCTAACTCGCTCAAAATTAGACGAAAAATCGAAAATTTCAAACCGATTTCTCTTGAAACTTTTTTATGCCGCTCGAATCACGACTGAAAGGGATTTAATATGATATATCAATCAGCCCACTCCGATGATTATTTGTGGTCGCTGATTTTGCATGGAAAAAAAAGAAAAAAAACTAAAACACCCGAATACAAAGTCCCTCCCTATTTACAATGGTCGGAACAAAAACAATGGTCTAAGTGCCGATCCTTGATACACGCCTACCTTATATTCCAAGTAGTCATTGCATCCTTGGCGAACTTTTCGATTCGGTGTACAGACACATTATTACTCGTACCAGATTTCCGGGAACTCTGTGTTACTCAGAGCCCATTTATCATTCATAGAGACATTCCTTATCAATTTTCAATATCAATAAGCCAAATAATTGACTCCTCAATATTTTGTTTGATATATTCAATTTCGTAAATATTTTAAGATCGAAGTTGAATAAGAACGTAACAAAAGTTAAAGCACTGGTTGTTTTTTTTCGAGTTCCTGGGTTAAATTAATCAAGAAAACCATGTCACCTTCAAAATGAACGTTTTACTCCATATTCAGCGCAATTCGAGTGAAAATCCAGTCATGAAAAAATGGGATGCTCGTGAAATCTGCTTGACCCGTGCAGTCCCTAAGAGGGCTTTCATCTTTCAGGGTCGGGGTGGCAATTCCCAATAGACAGAGAGGTCGATGGGTTTGGCAGTCCCACATAAACAAGGGATCGCCGACGTCATGATAACATAGCCCCGAATCATCGATTATAGTCTGCGTGCAAACAAGGCTTGTCGGACAGTCAGCAAAACTGCTCCGATTGAGGGTCTGAAATGGAGATAGTTTCAGATTTATTTCTTGGAGAGTTGTCGCCGGAACATGCTGAAAGCGAGTGGTTGACCCGAGTCCTACAGCTGAAACTTCTGTGTCGAAAGACGCCGGATAATGCTGGCACATCTCAATGATTCGGTTTGGAGAAAGAGTTTGATGAATTCTGATCAAAGCCAAGTCGTTTATTTGCTGTTCGTACTTGAAACTAAACCAAAAATTGTGTTATCACGATCGGAAACAACGTTTTTAGTCATCCATTTTCTATTGGTATTTATTAAATCTTTTCCCCTCGAACGCGCAAGCTCTCCTGAAACAAATAAAAACGGGAAGTTTTTGAAGTTTATTTAAATTGATTTATTACTGAAGTTTTTGAAATTTTTTAGGAATTGACTTATGTATGCTTTTTTTCTGCCTTTCTTTCTTTAAAATAACACCACTAGCGAGTTCTCAATTTTATTCGGTAAAACATCGACCTTAGAAGCAATATTAGAAAATGGACTTCTTAACGTATTTTGGTAAACCTAGTTTTCTTTTTCAGTTTTAATTGCCGCAGTAGTATTGTATCGTGTCCCGGATCCTAAGGGGGAGTCCTTCCTAAAGGTGGAGGGGTCCTCACTTAAACCAAAATCCTAGGAAAGGGGTCCTTAAATTTTTGGAGGACCCTCATCCTAGGTTTTTGTTAACGAAAGAAATTTTCCACCCAAAAAGTAGAAACCCCCCCTACTTAGCATCTTGCTAGGCTTAGCTTAACAAAAAGGGACACGATACAAAATTCTTTCTATTTCCAACTTTTGGGGTCTTAATTATTGGTCCTGGTTAATTATATGAATCATAATAATTGGTATATTTGTTTCGGGCAAATGAATATTCGACCTTGTTGAAATTTGTTAGTGAACGGGGAATTGACTTTTGTGGTATAGAATAAAAATTCGCCGGCGATTTTGGCAGCGTAGCTTAACTGTTGGCAGCAGTAAGCTATTTCCCAACTTGTTCTATTTTTTATGGTGAAAAGGTAGTAAATTGAAATCGCTCTCTAAAGGCGGCGGCCGTTTCTGGGCAAGTTATAGCAAACGATAAATTTGTCACCTTTTGAAATGAGAAAATGAAATTAGGGTGAACTTGGTGTTTTTAAGATATTGATTTTTAACTTATACAATTTAGAGGGTTTCTAACCATACTAAAAAACTCAAAGTTCCAAGCCGGGAGGAACAATATGCTGTTTCTCTTGAGGGGAATGGAAGTTTCAATGAGAAAAGGACGAGTGGCAAAAGGAAAAGTGGAAAGGAATATGAAAAATTGCACCGAGCTTTTTGCAAAAACTTGGTGCATTTCTACAAAACAAAAGTGTTTCCAGTAGTTCGTTTGGTTATTTACCGCCGGAAACTAGACAAGTCTAAAAGTATCTGCTAGGTATCGTTAATCTCCACTGGCTGACATTTAGCAGCTTGGAGAGGCGTTGGAAGAAAAAAACATTGAAATCGGGAGAAATCGAGTTACTCCAATTCATTCAGAATCAATTCAAGAAATTTATACGTCCTTAAAACAAACTTATTATGACAGTTCTAACGAACGAAACTGTTTCTAGTTTTTTTTTTCATTCTTTGCTATTTCAAATAACCTTATTTGCGACGTTTCAATTAAGTTAAGACTTTATGGCGGCTTAATTGGTATGAAAAATTGTTCCTTGGAAAAATATTTGAACTACTCCAAGTTTTATGATTGCACGCTTTTTTGCACGATGCAGCCGGATCTAATTATGAACGTATCAGGAATGTCTAACGTAATGTTATATGTTGCCCAGGAACTATAACCATAGCTTTCTGTGCCATTCAACTAGATTAGTTTTCTGTCTTTTCAATAACTTGCAAAAATCAAAAGTCTATCATTGAATAATTTACCTGCACAAGGTTATGCAAGGAACTTTTGAACACTGGCAGTCTTTAGCTTTGTCACGTGTACATCACCATATGTCTACAAACCATCGATCTCTAATAAACTTATTTTTCCCTCTGCCAGAATAAAAACTTGAACTTTGAGACCTAAATAACTGGAATTTTGAGAACTTGTCATCAGTCTCT